AAAAACAAGTCAATTAAGATTATTCAGTCTGAGGAGCAGAGAGAAAAATAATAGAAAAATGAACACAGCCTATGAGACCTATGGGACACCAATGAAGCATACCAGCATATTCATGACAGGAGTCCCAGCAGGAGAGGAGAGAGAAAAAGGGGCAGAACAAACATTTGAAGATATAATAACTGAAAACTTCACAAATTTGATAAACTACACAATTCTACACATTCAAGATGCTGAATGAATTCCAAGTACGATAAACTCAGAGATCTTATATTCAGACACATCATAATCAAACTGTCAAAATCCAAAGGCAAAATCTTGAAAGCAGCATGAAAAGAAAATCATTACATCCAAATGGTCCTCAATGAAGTGATAGCTGATTTCTTATCAGAAACTATGGGGGTCAGAAGGCCTTAGGATGATTTATTCATAGTGCTGAAAGCAAAAGACTGTCAAGCACCAATTCTGTATCCATCAAAACTATCCTTCAAAAAGAATTTAAGGCACTCCCAGATTTAAAAAAAAGAGTGCCAGTAAGTGGAACTATATAGGAAAATATATAAAAGACAACATAAATGTATTTTTGTTTATAACTTTTTATCCTATCTAATTTAAGAGACAACTGGATAAAGCAATAATTATAATTCTGTGTTGATGGGCAGTCAATATTTAAAGCTGTAATTTGTATGATAAACAGAACAAAAGGTGGGAATGGAATGGAGATAAACTGAAGCAGTTTTTGTATACTATTGGAATTAAGTTGGTATTAATCTGAACTAGATTGTATTAAGATGATAATAGTCATTGCAAGGGGAACCACTAATAACTCAAATATAGTAATGTAAATGACAAGGGAATGAAATGGTACACTAGAAAAAAAACTTTTAAGATTTTTATTGGGGAATTCGGGAGGGGAAAGGTGTTGGGGAATTGGGGAAGGGGAACATTGTATTTTTCCAGGACCCATCAGCTCCAAGTCAAGTTGTTGTCCTTAAATGTTGTGAAGGGAGCAAGCTCAGCTCTAAGTCCAGTCGCCACTTTCAATCTAGTTGCGGGGGCGGGAAGGGAGGGGGCGCAGCTCACCATCCCATACTGGTGCGAAACCTGCAACCTTGCTGCTGAGAGCACGCGCTCTCACCAGCTCAGTGGCAGCTCAGCTCGGGCACAGCTCACTGGCCCGTTTGGGAATCAAATCGGCAACCCTGTTGCTCAGAGCTCACGCTCTTAACTGAGCCACTCGGCCAGCCCTAGAAAATATTTTTAATGCAAAATATTGCAGCAGTGGAGGAATAGAAGAATGGAAAAGACATAAGGAAAATAGCAAAATGCAAGCATAAATCCTACCTTATCAGTAATCACATGAAATGTAAATGGATTAAGCACTCCAATTAAAATGCAGAAATTGGCAGAATGGATAAAAAGTATGACCCAACTATACACTGGCTACAAGAGACATACTTTAGATTCAAAGTCACAAATAAGTTGACAGTTAAAGAATGGAAAAAGCCATGCAAACTATCAAAAGAGAGCTGAAGTGACTACTCTAATATCAGATAACGTAGATTTTAAGACAAAATTGTTGCTACAGACAAAGAAGCACATTTTATAATGATAAAAGTGCCAACCCACCAAGAAGATACAAGAATTATACATGCCCCTATCACAGAGCCCCAAAATATGTGAAGCAAAAACTGACAGAGAAGTACATGCAATTAGAGGTATTGTTGTGGCTGTCTTTAGAAAATATAATCTTCCACATCCACATATATTAAAATCTGGAAAAATTACACTACTTTTTGAATCCACGTTATCTTGTTTTGAGAACTCATTTAGCTATCTGTTATGGAAATTAATGGGTTGATTACCCCTCATATCTCAATATCATTTATTAAGCCCAAATTAGGACCTAAGGGCTGAGGCAATGCAGAGTATATACAGATCACAGGACTTTGAAAAGAAAGCACCCTTATGTCTAGGTTGGTCATCTCTTGTACATCTGTCTGCCTTCCCCTGGAGATCTGGATACCATGTATTGATAGCTAGGTATTGAGGGCTGTGGCTGATAGACTAACCTCCAAGCAATGGGGGGGGCGGTGAGGGCGGGGCAAGGTAAGTTTTTATGGTCTACCAGGAAGGTGAGGCTTCCTTTAATGGACATTTGGAATCTGTTCTTCACTCAACAGTGGACATAGTCCATGTTGTACTAGTGAATTGTCCCCACAAGGGGACAGTATACGAGTGTGTCAACATGTACATTGATAGATGTGGTAGGCAAGTAGGTAGATTGCCTAGAAGTGGCCTCCAGAATTCTAGAACCTGTGAATGTAATTAAGTATCACTCCCGTGATTGTGTTATGCTGTATGGCACAGTTGATCTTAAAAAAGGTAGACTATCAGAATGGACCTAATCTAATCACATGAGCCCTTAAAAGCAGAGAACTTTCTCCATCTGGTGGTAGAAGGGAATGTCAGATTCAAATGTGAGAAGGATTCAATATCATTTCTAGCCTTATGAAGGGACCACTTTTTAGAAATGCAAGTAGCCTCTAGGAGCTGGGGGATGAAACCTCGAGCTGACAGCCAGAAAGGGAAAGGAGACCTCAGTCCTACAACTACAAGGGAATGATTTCTGCCAGCAACCTAAATGAACTTTAGGTTGAAGCAGATTCTCCCCTCAGAGCCTCTATATAAGAGCCCATCTCAGCAAACATCCGTCTTTTGAGACCCAGAGCAAAGAACCCAGATAAGTCTACCCAAGACCTCTGACCTACAGAACTGAAAGGTTGTTGTCATAAATGGATTAGTTTATGAAAATTTGTTCCACTGTATTGTGGATCAGTAGAATACCACTGTAGAACTCTGTTATTTCTCATCTCTTTCCCATGATCATGTAGGTGGGATGCACTAGATGTTGCATATAAAACAGTAGAAAGCTGTCTGGCAAGTGATGGGCATCACAAATTCAGGGATTTCCCCAACATAAACTGAAAATCTGTGAATTTAATGATTTTCACATATGTCATATTATTGTTTCAAAACATCTTTATCATTGTTATTATGTTTATTTTTGTTTCAAAACATGATCTTCCATTATGAGTTTTGTTTATACAGAGAACAGATTGCAGGCTGCCAGAGGTAGAGGGTGAGCGTGGGCAAAATGGGTGAAGGGGGTCAAGACACAGAAACTTCCAGTTATAAAATAAAGAAGTCATGGGGATGTAATGTACAGCATGGTGACTATAGTGAATATTGTGTTGCATACTTGAAAGCGGCTAAGAGCTTTTCATAAGAAAGACATTTTGTAACTTTGGTGACAGATGGTAACTAGACTTATTATGGTGATCACTTTGCAGTGTGTACAGACAGTGAATCATTATGTTATACACCTGAAACTAATGTTAATGTCAATTATACGTCAATACAAAAAAAGGAAAAGATGGAAAGTCAAATCATACTCTTTTGAATTAAGTCCCAAGCCCCATGAAAATAGCACCAGAATAAAATGAATTATTGGTTATTTTAGCTTTGTCCTAATAAAGTTCAAATTTTTATGCTTGTAGGGAAAAAATCCCATAATCTTCCATTGTGAAGGGGATTGGGCTATAATCCTGCCTAGAGGGTATATAGGCTAAGGCAGTATTTCTATACAAATGATTAGGGGAATATGTGAGAAGGGCTTACCTGATCCATGTGCACAATTTCCACTTTGCTTTTATAGCAGCAAATGGTGGTAAGTTGTATATTCACTGAGCCTATAGAATTTGAAGGACTTTTAGGGAAATTTTTGAGTGCATATTTTTGGAGACTTCTTTGGAAAGTGAGTAGAGAAACTTATTTAGGGATATCCTTTATTGTGAAATTTTCTCTCATCAGAAATGTCCCTGTACCTAGAGGGTATTTTGCTACGTAAAATAAGTCGGACAGAGAAAGACAAATACCATATGATCTTACTTACATGTGGAATCTAAAAAACAGAATAAATGAACAAACAAAGCAGAAACAGACGATAAATTGAAGGTTGCCAGAGGGGAGGGTGGTTGGGGATCTGGATAGAAAAGGTGAAGGGATTAAGAAATACAAATTGGTAGTTACAAAATAGTTACGGGGATGTAAAGTATAGCATAGAGAATATAGTCAATAATGGTGCAATAAATATGTATAGTGCCAGATGAGTACTAGACTAATATGGGGAATCACTGCATAAATTATATAAATGTCTAAGCACTATACTGTATGCCTGAAACTAATATAATATTGAGTATCAGCTGTAATTGAAATTTTTTTAAATGTTAAAAAGGAACTTAAAGATACACAGAGCTGAGTTTGATCGTTCACTCCAAAATAAGAATTTTCTATCTTTGTCATTCATTCTCAATCTCTTTCTCCCCTTCCCTTTCTCTTACTCTCCTGCTCTTCCCTCCTCCTGTTTTTAATATATACCCCCACCCCACCTTCGTGCTAAAAGGCGTTAAACTGAGCATAACTCTCATTTGAGCTTTTCCCCTTTTACTAAGTCAGAATTTTCAAAGATTCAATTTGATAAGTTACTGTACAATAATGAGGCCGACCTTTGGCCCGTAAGCATTTCCTCCAGAAGAAGGTTGAACTTTTGAAGTTCATTTAGTAGGTTATATACTTACTCAAGGGTCTGCATTTACACAAACATTTTTTGCATGAGGTTTTTGAGGTTGCTTTGAGAGGTGATTAACCCATTCCACATGAAAATCAGTTTCCTTACTAACAGGTTATTCTCTTAGATACATTTTTATACCTCAGGTTTAACTTCTTTCCATGTTTTAGCTCCATAAACTTGATTCCTCCAGCCTTCTACTACTGTGCTGGTTCTGATATTGAAATTATCGGGGGTTGGGGGTGAGGGGGGATTATTTGTAGGGATCGGGCAGGACCTGACTCAGGATGGGACCAGGAGGGTCTTGCTAAGATTTGCAACAGGAAGCAAATAGAGTATCTTAGAGTATTTGATGTGCTGTACATTGTCATTCTAGGTACCTTGGCTGAGTGACTGATTAATGCAGTTAGTCAAGTCAGAGAAGCCTGTATTCCAGATGAAAACTTCCTAAGTCTGAGGCATCTGTTTGTGTAAAAGGTAAGATGTGTTACATTGCCAAAGCTTTGTGCTCAAAATCCTGTTCACTATTTTTTATCTGGGTCACAAATACAAGGCCTCTCGAGGCAAGACACGTAGATAAAAGAAGATGGTGTTGACTATGATAAACTGGAAGTGTGTACCCTATCTTTAGGGGGCAGCCATTCCCCAACCCCTACCTAATCTTGCCATGCAGATTTTGAGATCAGCATTGCCTGATCCTCCAATTTGTTTTGAAAAAGGAAGCAAAAACATGGATTATTTTATGTGACATTTCCCCATTTATAAATGTTTGCTATGATTTCATAAAAATTTAAAACAGTGGTCAGGACAAGCAAAACACTCCTGTTGGCTGGATTTAGCTACTGGATGAGTTGGTGAACTTTGATTGAAACCAAGGTTCCTTGTGATCTTCTTTTCCTCATTAGTTCTTTCTCACAAGATACACATGTTGAATATACAAACATATTTGAGTGAAGACTAGTACAAAATGGATAGTGTAACTTGTACAAAGATATTATCTTTTACATTAGTAATACCGTGGATGCATGAACTGGGGCTGGGAAATTTATAGGAAGTCAATAATAAATACACATGACCACTGTATTTATTTTCCTATCTTGATCATATTGTATGATGACTCACGGCAAAGAGTTCTGATAAGCTGTAATTGGACACTGATAGGAAACTTACTTGGAAAACATGATTAAACCCCCGCTAGAGGTTAAGTGACAGAGTCTAGGGGAATACGTTTTTCCTTGAGGCAATTGTAGCCATTCTTCAAGGCTGTTCCTGGAAATAAAACTTTAGGGAAAGGTGCTGCCTAACAAGGGCTTACTGTAGGATTTTCCTGTCCCTGCTGGTAGCCTATGTGGTTGCTGTTATTCACTGGCAGAATTAGATGAATTGTTTAAGTTGGAGTTTCTGTTTTAAATCAGGTGTACAATATGTCATACTCTGAAACTATTTAAATAGAGCTTTAGAATTGCTAGGCTATTAAATTTAAGTAGAGAGGGACCAGTAAAATTCAACTTCAGGGATTCCCTGTTAGAATGTCACGTTTACTGGATTCATTGCACGGCGGTAATTATGATCAACTCTCCACTCCACCCAGCTTGTGCTGGGACAGTGCCCGAGAGAAATGGAGACTGGCTAATTACTGTTTCGTGGTACGATGCATGAGCTACCACTTAAGACCTTGAACCCCTTTCTGATCATGAAATTGATCATTCACATTAACATAATGATGGTGATTGAGGTACTAAAACCTAGATCTTCCTTAAAGAAAGTCTGGGTACTATAGTTGAGGCCGTGAGTGCTGGGCCCATATTCCTTCAGTGCTCGTCTAAGATGCAAAAGGCTGCTTACTGCAAATACCTGTTCCTCTCTGTCTAAGGACTTTTTTTTTTTGTAGCCAAGGAGGCAAGCTTACCTTGTGAGGGCTAGGTCCCCAGAGGACGCCTTCTACCAATGACAGGTGGGGATTTGGTGAATAAAAAACACTAAACTTCTTTGCTGCTAAGTTGAGGTGTCTCTAAGACTTGGCTCTCACTGTCTCCCCAGAAGGGTTGAGCCCCAGTTGGCCACCACAGTGATAGGTACCAGACTTGATAACATTCCCGTTATTGGTTTTCTTCCCTTCCTTATCTCACTTCCTACATCCATACTAGTGTTTACTGTAACTAATTCCCAAAGAAACTACTTGGACTCAAATCCTCATCTCAGGATATGCTTTTGGAGAAACGTAAACCAAGATGGGAACACTGACCTAGTGCTTCCATGTTCATTTTGATCAAATTTGGCATAGTGCTAAAGAACATTAGTTTGGAGTTCAGGATCACTTTGCAACTTTGAAAATAAAATTAAAGTATGTAAAAGACATCCTGTGTCTTTTAAACTTATCGATGTTAATAAAATGTGGTACATGGATTTAAGATATAGATCACTGTTGAATATATTCAGTAAGGTCTCTGGGATACAGAATTCCTAGTTGATGGCAGGAGAGCTCTTAGTAGAAGGACTCCATCACCAAGGATGGACACACGAATGCAATAATTTGGAACCAGGACCATGGCACAGAATGAGGCGGAGGGGAAGGGACAGCGGCAGGGTGTGGCAAAATCAGCCTATAGGCTAGATTTGGCCTGCAGCCTGATTTTGTAAGTCAAGTTTTATTGTAACACAGCTATGCTCATTTGTTTATAGGTTGTCTGTAGCTGCTTTTGTGCAACAACCGCAAAGTTGAGTAGTTGCAACAGAGATCATATGGCCCACAAACCCAAAATATTTACTATCTGCTTTTTGGAGATAATTTTTTAGCCTCTGATACAAAATACCTTACAGCACTTACATAATGCTGTATTCTAGTTTAGTTTTAAAAAATTAGCCAGTGAGGCATCTAATTGGACATGCTTTGCTCTTGCTACCTCATACCAACGAGTAATTATCCTGCAGTGGGTCCATATGCAGTGGCTTTAAAAAAATAAATGATCGCTCAAGAGTGTGAGCTCTGAGCAACAGCTGTTTGAGTCCCAGCCCGAGCTGAGCTGCCACTGAGCTGCCAACAGGTGGCAGGATGGCTCAGCTAAAAAAAAAAATGTGATGTGCAGCGGCATGGTGAAAATGCAGCACGGAGCATGACTAGTTGGCTAATTGAAAGACTGAATGTTAATTTCTACAAAGTTAATAGATATGGACATGATCTTACTTGTAATGATGCAGAATGGTGGTATGGTGCAATGAATGCCTGGGAGTGTGGATGTGTGTATGTATTTAATAATTGTTTGAAAAAGCTCAAACCTATAGAATAATTGTAAGAATGGTACAATAAAAACTCATATACCTTTGGCCTAGACCAGGGGTCGGCAAACTGCAGCTCTGGAGCCACATGCGGCTCTTTGGATACGTACATGTGGCTCTGAAGTAAAATTGAAAATGAAAATCAAACTATCATAGTTTCATTTATAAAATTTCTAAAGGATATTATTCACATAATGGTGATTTCATTTGTTTTATTGCTCTCAAATAATTTTTAAATTGTTGTCAGGGACAGGATTGGCTCTTCCGTCTCAAAAGTTTGCTGACCCCTGACCTAGATTCATCAATACTTTATATTTTACTGAATTCATCTTATGTCTCTCTCAAGAAAAAGGAGGTTCTTTTTTATATAACCACAAACATTTATCAAATTCAGGATATTTATCATCGATATAATATTATCTTATATATGGTCCATTTTTAAATTTCACCAATTGTCCCAATTTTGTCTTTTATAGTAGTGCTTCTCAAATGTTAGCATGCGTCAGAACCTGGCAGGCTTGTTAAAACCCAGATTCCTGGATCCCACCCCTGAAATTCTGATATAGAAGATTTGGGATGGGGCCCAAGTAATTTCGGTTATTACAAACTCGCAAGAAATTTGGTCGAAATGCTGCCAGCTTAATAACATCCCTCCTAGGGATGGCCAGTTAGCTCAGGTGGTTAGAGCACAGGGTGCAGTGCTTATAACACCAAGGTTACTGGTTCGATCCCCACATGGGCCACTGAGCTGTGCCCTCCACAACTAGATTGAAACAACTACTTGGAGCTTGTGAGTCCTGGAGAAACACACTGTTGCCCAATTAAAAAAAAATAGCATTCCTCCATTCCACCTCTCACCAACCCCATCCTCCAAACCCAGGCTACTATACAGGATCCTGTATTGCATTTAGTATCATGTTTCTTTTGTCTTTTTTTAAAGCTTAAACAGTTCCTCAGTCTTGCCTTTCTTTGTTTCTCACGGTACTGACATTATTAAAGAGAGCATACTAGGTTTTCTTGCCCTATAGAATATCTTTCAGTTTGGGTTTACCTGATGTTTTCTCATGATCAGATTTAGATAATGCATTTTTGGCAGAAATACTACTGAAGTAATGTTGATCGGTTTGTCCCCTTTGTTGGTGATTTAACTTTAATCACTAAGTTAAAGTACCTACCGTATTTGCTGGCGTATAAGACGATTTTTTGGCCCTGAAAAATATGCCTCCAAGTGGGGGGTCATCTTATATGCCAGGTACACTTCAGATAGACTGCCCATATAACAAACTCTGTATTTTGAGTGGAAATGTTAGGGGGTCGTCTTATACGCCCAGTCGTCTTATACGCCGGCAAATACGGTACCTGATTTCTCCTCTGTAAAGGTACATTTTTTACTTTGTAATTAATATGTAACTTGTGGCAAGATACTTGGATCCCATTCCCCAACAAACTCACATCCAATCTCTGGGATTCCTGCCTGAATTATCACATTAGTTGCTAAATATTGATTTTTCTAATGCCATCATTTGCTCTATATTTATTCGTTCTCATTTTATAGTAAAGAAGAACATTTCCTCCTTCTCCTTTGTTTTCTTGTTGTTGTTTTATGGAAGCAGTATGAACTAATGGTCTCTTATTTTATTCAGTGGGTTATAACCCTTTGTTTTCATTATTCATTTTTGATGCTCAAATTGTTTCTGATTTGACCAGTGTCAACACCTCCAGGCTGGCTCCTGTGCCCTTTTATACATGGCTCTATCAGTTATTAAGTAGTCTAGAAACATAAATTATAAAAAACTTTACTAATGTATAGATTTTATCTGTCACTGAGTACTTGCTGTGCCCTTAGTGTATCTCCAGTACTCTTCGATGTCAAAAGGTATGCGAGGGTAATATAAGGTAAATATACCTTCTTCTACCAAAGAACTAAAATCTCAATATAGTAGGACTAATGTAGGTAAATGCATTAGAGACTAATTTGAGATGGTATGTAATCCAGTTCTAAGTTTTATGTTTATTCCTTCTAAAACTGATCCACACTACTGTATTTATAATAGTAACACATTTCCTCACTGTGAAATAGGAAACAATCCATCCTTAGTCTGTAAGCAAGGCTTATTCCTCTAATCCATACAGGAGGAAGTCAATCAGCAAGATATATCTGAGAGTTGTCTCTGTCTTCAGTGTGTGAAATGCAAACTTGA